ATCGCATATCAGGAAACCTTTTTTTAAAAAACGCCGAAGAATCTATTGGTGAGCAAATTTTGCTAGAAAGAAATGTGTACAGATAGTATGAACAAAAAAGAACGGGAAGGAGTTGAAAACGGAAAGCGTCCCGAACGAGCTCAACCTGAAACGCGTCATACCTCGATTGATACCAAAAACGTCAAAATCTGTGAGAAGATGATTTCTGACCATCAACCAGTTATGAAAAGCGTTAATAGGTGGTATGAGACTTGTACCTACGCATTCGACCCAGAAACAACCGATCGAACGGACGAATATCGTGCAAAAGGTGAGTCAAGACCTATTTCTTCGGTTATCGCGGTGCTGCGCACTACGAATTCCTTCCGCTGGGCCAAACTATTAATAAGGAATATTCTTTAAGTTTGAGGATTTCTTTACAGACGCCGAAATAGATTTGGAATAGTAAATGGATTTTAAAAAAAAAAAATTAAATTGGTCTAATTTTTTGAACACAGTAACATATCAGGAGCAATATTCGGAAAGACGTCTGAAGGGCGAGCAATCTAGATCCAATTTGAGAAAAATTAATTTTTTTGCAAAATGATTTCTTCTGTGTTGTTATAACAAACTATTAATTAGAGCATGGGGTCCAAAACATGAGCTGACATTTAGTAAAATTAATAATCTTTTAGAATTCTTCGTCACATATTTTCGTCATCAGGTATTAAAAATAAGAATATCTTGTCATATAAAGGCTTACATTTCATGAGAATCCTTTAATGGATTGAAGCTCAAGAAATAGACCTATGTAATCTAGACTTGGCAAAGTTCATTTCTATATCAAGTTACTATTACGATTACTATGTTAAAAATTTGCCTTTGCTGCTAAAACAAGGAGACGGTTATACGGAATCAAAAAATGAGGATCTTCAGATCTTAACTTTTCATGTTACCCGTGCGATGCTGTAACACTATTACTTCGCGATTTTTGTCAAAAAACCTTGGAAATTGAATTAAACGTTTGTTTGTTGTCCTTGAAATACAAGCTTTCCTTAGATCAAAGCTTCGTAAGAATATCTGAAAAACTGCAACAAAAAACGAGTGCGAACATAAGCTTAAATAGATAATAAAAGATGAGTCTATATCAAGCCCTCTTAGCTGTTGCATAAATCATTACTAATTTCGTATACTCTACAAAGTAAAAGGCGTAGAATATAATTGAAGGTTATTCTAATTTTTAATATTTTTGTGCAGCTATGTGTCGCACATATCTCTTAACGATCATAAACCAATCCGTAAACCTAAACACCTAAACATCTTACGTAACAAGTTGTCTGAAGTATGCTCAGTGTGTGGAAAATATTACATCTCAGTTTCAATGTCAATAATAGTTACCTTATAATTCGTAAAAACTTATATTTTTGTTGCACGTTTACGTTTTTATGAATTCTTGAACCCTTTCTTTTCTTAATACGCACAGCACATGCATGCAAAGCTACAAAAATGTGAGCACATGTAAAAGTTTCTATGTTAATGCTTATGAATAAATTTACGTACCAAATATTTGTGTTTCTGTGTGTATGCATAAGCATATCAGAGAATACTTAACATACAATATTTTTTTTTTTTGCCTTTTTTTGTTGGTATATTTCTATGCATAAACAAGAGAAAATACAAGGAAATCCTTTCGTAACTATACCACCATAAGAAGTATACCAACAAGTTGTATAAGGATGTATGTGCGCCTATGTGCAATGTCCGTCGGGTTTATAAATGTACCGTTGCTTTACTACTTTTGTTAAACAGTAACTTCTGTCATGCTCTTCAATATGGTTTCTCTTAAATGCCGCCGGAAAATGTATTCATTTGCCGTACACTGAAGAGTAAAGTCGGCGACGGTAAAGGGAAACTTACTTACAAATACATCTTTTGAAATCAATGTAATTTGTTTGCGCTATTTAAGGTTCGTAAAAATTCTTTAACGATTTTAAAAATTTAAATGCGAAAAACAGAACATACCTTCAAAAATTTGGTTCTAAGTGATCCATCCAATCTTTTAAAAAACACCCTTGCCGGATAAAAATATTACATTGTCCTGATGAGGCGATATATTCTGAAAATAAAAGTAAAATATCCTTGAAAAAATTCGAACGTGCTAAATATATTTTTGGTGCTACGTATACATAAATTCAGTTACTTTATTAATATCGAATATCGTAAACGGTCAAATTGGATCCACGTTTTATAAATACCTGGGATAAACAGAAGGTTGCAAAAATATGTTCTTTTTTTTGGTTTTTCTTTGTCTAATATGACCAATTAGGGAGTTTTCCCTAGACGCGTAATATGGTAATGGCCAGAAGTAGGAAAATATGAAAGATAGGCCCAAGTGGATTTGTGTACCCAACCATTAAATGTTGTGCCTTTATCGCCTGAGCATTTACTACAGTTACGGCCAAGTATGTTCAAGCACTTCTGAGATTTGAACCCATGACCACCGACGATTTGCTAGTCGCGATTCTTATGTGCAAGGTTCCACGACCGAGTGTGATCATCAAATCACTCCGAGATTTGAACTCGCAACCACTGACGACTGTAGGATATGCGGCAGGTGATGAAAAAAAATCTCTCAAAAAATCTCTTGTCTAACTCCAGATCATGATATGAATAAAAATAAAACGAAATCTATCCACTGCATATATTAACCTTGTATTGTAACATACAGATGAAGAAGCAGATAAACGAAGGAAACGAATTTCTGGTTGTTAATTTAAGCCACCAATAGTCAATACAAAAATTAGACACATAGATAAGTTTTCCCAGTTCTCACTTCACACAATGTAATTTCAAATAAAATTAACCTAAAAGAAAATAGAGAAGAAACTAAAGATTTGCTTGGTTACACGGCGTGCAAGCAAACATCAAAAATAGGTATAATTTGCAAGCATTATGCATTAACCTAAAAACATAAATGAATTTCTGCATATATGTTACACAACGATACGCAAATTCTCTCTAAGGCATATAAAGTTTTTTCCCCTTCTTTTTTTTCATATACTCCTATATATTTGAAAGATACATTTCAGATTGTTTCATTTCCTTACCCAACAATAAGGGGAACGACAAGGACTACAAAGTGAAAACTATGTGGAGAAAACGGAGGCCACTTAAAGTGCAATCACAATCAACAAAGACAATGCACTCTTGTAAGCATTGAAAATGTAATCAGTAATTTCAGAGTCATAGTAATGTGTGTTTAAAATGTTTATAGTGAATTCACTTAATTAGTTTTATGAACACACAGCCAGAAGATTGAATTTAATGTGATTCTTTTCAAAAATAAATGAAGATGAATTTATATAAACATGAAGTGCATTTTAATACATACGCAGCGCAAGCACTGGTAGAAATGAATTCGTATAATCCTGGTTTGATGAGAATGTGTATATAAAAAAAGTGTTAAATTAACAATAACAAAGACAACAAAGAATCTCGTACATAGCTTCAGAAAAATCTCTTATATATACAGTAAAAGCTCCTTATTTGCGGGATATACGCTCCATAAAAATGCCGCAAATGCAGAAACCGCGAATACGGAATGGTAATTTATATGGCGTTATAGGGGACACGTTCCTAGGTGACAAAATAAGAGAAATCAAATATATGAAAAAATCAATTTAATTAAAGTTCTTGAACATTTTGATTAATTATCTTAATACTTAGGCAATGGTTTGAAGAATTTTGTAATTTTCTCTTGCTTGGAAGTTTTTAAAAGCTCCTTCAATTCAGACTGATACGCAGCAGTCGCATTAGTAATTTGCCTCTTAACAATAAGACTCCGTTCCAGAGACGGACCAATGTTCACAAAGAAATCGCGTAGCTCCTTTCCCATTCTTAAACGTTAACTAAGATTTTTCAAATTAAATGTCACGTTTCCAGTGCTTGTTGAAGACTCTTCTTCAATAGCCTGTGAATTTCACATTTCCTCCAAGTCGGTTTCAGTCAAATCTTCATCTTGCGATTCAAGCAATTCCCGAATGTCACTTGATTCTGTCTGTTCGAAGCCATCTCGTCCTATTTCATTCGCGATTTCGGCTATGTTTGCAGTCAAAGCTTGAACTTGCACAGATTCTTCGTCATTTTCCGTATTCAGAGCAGGCCACAGTTTTTTCCAGCATAACTTAAATGTGCGCGGCTTCAGTTCTTCCAATGATGCATTTTGCTATGTCAAAGTTGTTCCTGCATTCCATAACATTCATATCAGGATTACATTCCATATTATCCAATATGATTTTAAAGATTCGTCTAAAGTAATAGAGCTTAAAGGCCTGGATTAATCCGCAAATAAAAAAAATTATAGCCGCGAATATAGGAATTGGTCGCATTTTTTTAATCCACGAATAGTGAAACAGTGGAGCTTTTACTGTATAAACATACATAAAAGCGTAGTAAAGAACATGATACGCGCACACAGATATGATGAATACATTGAAAGCGTCTGTAGACACGTGTATGGACAAACTTTGCCATGCGGAAAATTACTTTTGCTTTTTTCTTTTTTTTTGCATTAAACTGTTGACAATAAAAAGTAAAATATATTATGTGCCATCTAGAGTAAGGTGATGGTTATTACTAGTTACTGTTGTACGCTGCCGTCGCACTCTCTCTTTCTCTCTTCTTAACAGTCAGGTAAGTACTTTTCCGTAAGAATAAAAGCTGAGTTTTCCTTTCGTTGTTATTGCATTCTTCTTTAACTAAATGCCGTTGTTAACTATATATCCGAGTATTTGTAAATATTTATATACATATGTGTGCGGGTCCAACAGGGTGTGTTTGTGTAAAAGATCGTATGTTATTGTGTGAGTAGTTGTTCTCTTAACCTACATCCTCTTCACCTAACTTCTATTCAAAAACATCTTAAACTTATAGAACTTTCAAAAAACATTTCAAAACTTAAAAAATTAACAAATATTTTGTAGCAATTATATTAATTTTTATATGACTTATGTGTAAATTAGCATGTGACATGAACGTGCATGCACGTTGCAAAGAAAACGTGCCCAGCTTATGCGGATGTGATCACACTGAACGGCGTGGACGCATTAATTTGGAATTGAATGTTAAAGAAAATACTTTAACAACACAGAGTAAGTAAAAAAAAGAAAACTAGCAAAAAACAAATTAAAAAAAAAGTACTCCTTCAACTAGTATACTACATAGCCCTGAATGGGAACGAAAGAAACCTAGAGAATAATGCTTTTGGAATCGAAAATTTTGCATTAATTGACTAAAGGTTTATTCATTTTCGTTTTGTTTTTTATATTAATTTTTTTCTAGTAAAAGAGGGCCGTAATCTTATACCAATGGATCCCAATGGCCTTAGTGATCCTTATGTTAAGGTTAAGCTTATACCCGACGAGCAGGAAAAAACTAAAAAGAAAACTCGCACTATTAAAGCCTCACTAAATCCCATATGGAATGAAACCATCAAATTGTAAGTTAACTTACATAAATTTTTAATTTTTTCACACGCGCTTCGAAAATCATTTAGTGAGAAAAATTGGTACAATACATATTAATAAAAATGTTTTTCATGTCTATGTCTGGTAAACACATGTAGGGTAAAGATTGAAAACTCCTTAGCTGTGTGGAATTTTTTTTATCTTATTGCTGTGTTCTGGGAATAGCTAACCGTGCTATCCAGGCATTTAACATTCCTCGGATTAAATCTTAAGTCGATAAATTACCGAAACACGTATATTTCGCCTATAAAAAATATACAAGGCCATAATCTTTATTATTTGCGTTCGACAATTTAACGAAAGTTTCTAGAGAATAATGGACTCTGCTCTATCCCTAATTACACCGTTCGTCTTTCACTCTGCCCTCTCAGTTACACAATTTACTTTTATCGCCCTCAATAAATCCCTGCCCTTAGTTAATATCTCTCCTCAATTAATCCGGCACTTCTTTGCGCGGATGCCGACGGATTATCAAATTATACCCACACAGCACAACGGCTTCAATCAGAGAGAGGGAAGAAACAGTCTTGACATTTCCTCGAAGCCTATCGTCACCATCGGCGTTGCGTTTCGACTAAATTTCGAAACCATTTATAATTAGTAATCTCTACAATCTTCTTCTACTAAATTTACTGAAAGTACATATTATAGACGTACATTTATAAAGAGAGATAAAAATATATATAAAGAGAATAAAGGATTTTGACGTATGAAAAACGGTGTATGATATAACATAAGATAATGTACTTGTATATATTCCAACTAATTGAAAAACCAAGTGCAAACTTATGGCGCGTTATGCTGCTGCCGGCTGACAAAAAAGATTAGCAGAAAACACATCATTTATAGTAACTTACTTATATAATCAACCGAGCAGAATAAGTTAATCGGAAAAAAACATCTGAGTCGAAAACAAAGTTTAAGTTAAGTTGTCAAACTGAGTAAACTGTAAATAATGCTGCCCTTAAATAAGTTGATTGTAAATAAGACCACGTTCTAGTGACGCGAACCGTATCAAGAAAAGCGTTTCCTAACATTATAAAATAATAAAGCAGAATCAATAATAAGAAGAAAATATATGCAGAGAAAGTAATCTAAAAAAAAAAAAAAATGACCAAAACAACCCTGGAACTTTGGTCCTCAAAATAGGAAAAGGTCAAAATCATCGAATGTAACCGTTATGCACATTGGTCCTTTGAATTACTGTATTGTTTGCACCAATAGATGTCGCTAGTTACAATACATGCAAGCACCTAGTAGAATCAATAATCGATTATTTTGGAATCTACCAAAAACCTTGTCTTAATAGAATACGGTGGCAAAAAATTTATGACCTGATCGAAATTTATACAATAAACCACATTATCACACAATCTACCTTATCCATTTACAATTCTGCTACATATTAGGCATATTAAAAATTCTCCGCGGTTTCTGCGGGGCATGATGTTGTCGCCTATATACCGGACGACTGCCATCTGATTGCCTCAAACGAACATGTGTTTAAAAGGTGACATTTCAGCTTAAACTTTTGGTTAACCCAATTTACTAATCTTTGGTCGTGTAAAAAGTTCTATTGGTTTGAAAATGAGTAAAATATCTAAAGCTATGTGATGGTTTTTTACCATAAAAAAGGTAAAAAAATAAATAAATAAATTTGTAAAATGTATGGTGAGAATGCTGTGAGTGAACGAAGAGCCCAGGAATGGTTTGCTCGATTCCAAAAATTCACTTACATTCTCTGGAATAGTTGATGAAATTTTGCAGCCGGTGCAGCAAAAGTAGCACGCAAACCGTGAGGAAGTAGCGGAGGCACTGAATGTCATCTACATGGCAGGTTTGAATCATTTGAAAAGCGCAGGGTACAAAAAAAACCTCGACACTGTGGAAAAAGCAGTGAAGACTTTCAAGCATGACCTAATATTATATATATAATTACGTAGATATGAAATCGGAATTTTCCCAAAGAGGGCCCTAACTGTCAATGTAGTTATTGGTAAACCATGTCATTAGCGCAATTTTTTCTTGTTAGCGTTAAGCAAATATTTTCAACTCAAAGCAATATGAGTTTATTAGCATGACGTAATTTGCAAAAGTTTTTAACATGTTAAGTTCGCAGAGTTTTGCGTCGTCGGCATAAAAAGTGGATTTATTTTAAGAGCTCCAGGAAAAAATGCATAGGTACATCCAGATTTGCCATCCAGATCCTGTGAGTTTGGTGGGACAAGAACAGTTTGAACTATCAGTCAACACCCAATCGATGCAAATAGCTCGATATTCCAAGAGAATATCAAAAAAAAACCAACACAAGGACACTTTTTTAAATGACCATTCGTCCAACCATCCATTCGCAAAGCCAGGTGATCACACGTTGAATGCGCTCAATTGGGAAGTGCTGGTGCTTGTGGCTTACTCATTACGAAGCTACGAGCTCTTTTTATTACCACTGGTATGCATCGGTGGATCGTGCACTTATTAAGCAACGTTGGTGTACAATGATGACGTGAAGAAAACGACTCAATGAATGGTTCTCGGAAATAATGAAAGATTTTTGAAGGCTTGGCATCTGCAAATTGACTGGCCGAGGAGAGGAATAAATGGCTAGCTTCGAATAAAATGTTTTTAAAATATTCATACAATAAATAGTTATTTTCTATACAAAAATTCCTATTTCATGTTTACATGCCCAACTAACTGCCCACATACTTGGATTACTATTAGGATCTCGAAACTTTGTCTGCAACAATAAAATTGGTCTTTGCAAATTTTTGAAAAATTCGATCATAAAATTTGATATATATTATTTAAATTTCAGTGAACTTAAACCAGAAGATAAGGATCGCCGCGTACTAATCGAAGTATGGGATTGGGATCGCACATCACGTAACGATTTCATGGGTTCTTTATCGTTCGGTATTTCAGAGATTATTAAGGTATAATTTTGAACATCAAACATTCTATGTAACCTTTTACATATTTATATACAGAATCCTGCAAATGGTTGGTTTAAATTGTTAACACAAGATGAAGGCGAATATTATAATGTGCCATGTGCCGATGCCACGCAAGATTTACTCAAGTTAAAATCACAAATGCGGGTAGGTATAAAATAAAAACTTTCAATAAATATTAAGCTTTTTTTTTTCCAAATTTTTTTGTAAAGAAATCGTCACAGAAGAAACCTTTAGTAATGCGTACCGAAACTAACGCTCAAGCTCAATCGCGTAAAGATATGTTAAGAACAAGCGATTTTAATTTCATTAAAGTTTTAGGCAAAGGCTCATTCGGAAAGGTAACGAAAAAAACTTAATATAAAGTATAAAAATAAAAAATAGTCATAAAACAATATTTCATTACCAAAATTTAGGTTCTCTTAGCTGAACGTAAAGGCGGTGAAGAATTGTATGCCATAAAAATACTAAAAAAAGATGTTATTATTCAAGATGACGATGTCGAGTGTACTATGATTGAGAAACGAGTGTTAGCTTTATCCGATAAGCCGCCATTTCTAGTACAATTACACTCCTGTTTTCAAACAATGGCAAGCGAAAAATAAAAAAATATTTTGCATTAATTTACCATTTATTTTGCTCTATCAGGATCGTTTATTTTTTGTTATGGAATACGTTAATGGCGGTGATTTAATGTTTCAAATACAACAATTTGGTAAATTTAAAGAGCCAGTGGCAGTGTAAGTTGATTAACTTTGAAAGCTTTACGGAAAATTTTTGTTGATTCGAACATTTGTGATTTTGTTTTAGATTTTATGCTGCCGAAATAGCTTCAGGTTTATTCTTTTTACATACCAAAGGTATATTATATCGCGATTTAAAACTGGATAATGTATTGTTGGATGCTGATGGCCATGTTAAAATAGCCGACTTCGGTATGTGCAAAGAGAATATTGTCGGTGATAAGACAACCAAAACATTTTGCGGTACTCCAGATTACATAGCACCAGAGGTAAATAAGTTCCTTCATATGTTTAAAATGATGCCCAGAGCTAATGCTAACGCTTTTAAATAAGCCTCAATCATTAAGGTTACATACATATATACAATCAGCCCTTTTTCGGTTCATCAATACAATTTTTTTTTAAAAGAAACTTATGTATACAGCGACAGTCGAAGGTGAATTTCAGCTGTTAGCTGTTGATTTAATTCGCAGGAATTGAAAGTACACATTTTTTACACGAATTTTTTGTTTTAGCCCGAATCCAAAACAACAAATTTTCTTTAATTTTAATTTACACAGCGTTTTACCGAATCTTGGATATCAACAACTATATAAAAAACTTGAGAAGCCAAAAAAAAAGACCCATCCAGGGGGCAATAGACCCATCTTTTATTCTGCCGATCTAAGCTTGTCCGTTTGCCTGTCTCTCTGGCCGTCTGATGTCTGTCTATATTTTTTGTGTTCAACCTACAGGTCGCAACTTTGCGACTCTCTGATGACGTTTGGTACACTGACATGTTTTGGAAAGTCATTAGGTGGAAAAAAAATTGCAGTTTTCAGAGTTTCTCGGCAAAATTCGTCATATTGTAAAAATAAAAAGTAGCATCTCGTCTTGTTGAAAATAAATATGGTATGCATGCACACCATCAATTGTGCAGACTACAAAAGTCAATTAACATCTTTCGGTAACGCAATTCTTTCCCCATAGCGGTTGAACCAGCATCATCAGCGTCAAAATGGCGTCATTGCACAGCTCTCCAAAAGCAAGATCATACTATCGCTCTTTGCGTGTCTTTTCTTTTCCTTCGCTTATCTGAGCTACCTACGACAACAACTTTGCTTGTTTACGTACCCAAAGGTTAAAGTAGATGTGTATGATATTTGGTAGGCCACCTTTTCTATTTTTATGTAGGTACTATAAGTTCACTCAAAACTTCCGTATGAAGGCTTTATCATTATGTATATATATCATTGTATAAATTCGAGTTGCTTTCTGTTTACATTGCAGTCTAGGCATACCCCTTGGACAATTTGATCCATTTTCAAAATCAATCTGTATGGTAGAACTTGAAATAATTTTGCCAAATCGGGAGCCGATAACTTAATGTTTGCAGTCATAAGAATGTCAGCTATGCAAATTCACAGAGTTATAGCAATGGCCTAGATGTATTCACTTGAAGTTGATACTGACCAAGAAGAAAATAAACTCTTTTCAGAGCGTCTTAAGCTTTAATCATGGTGCGGCGAATGTGTTTATAAAACGTGTATATCCCCAAAGCTCCGGTGGCGGATATAAAAGAGTACAGCTAACGGATGCGACCATAATTTTAACGACTTTTTGCACGATATTTATATTTGAATATAACTACCTCATTCTCATACTTTTTCTTTTCGTTTCAATTTCGTTTTTTTTATATATTATTGAAATTGTCTTTGTTATTAATTTAGATTATTTTATATCAACCTTATGGAAAATCTGTCGATTGGTGGGCTTACGGAGTTCTATTATATGAAATGCTAGTGGGTCAACCCCCGTTCGATGGCGAAGATGAAGAAGAACTTTTTGCTGCTATTACCGATCACAATGTTTCATATCCGAAAAGCTTAAGCAAAGAAGCCAAAGAGGCTTGCAAAGGAGTAAATAATATTTTTTGATATTTTTCGAAATTGCAAAATAATAATGCATTACGGATTATTTCATAATCTCTTTTAGTTTTTAACTAAACAGCCCAGTAAACGATTGGGTTGTGGAGCAACTGGCGAAGAGGATGTACGCTTACATCCATTCTTTAGACGAATCGATTGGGAGAAAATTGAAAATCGTGAAGTACAACCACCGTTTAAGCCGAAAATTGTAAGAATGGAAATTTTTCATAAAAATTGTTTGGTAAAGAAATATCAATCAAAAAGTAAAAATAAAGGGAAATTTTCAATAAGAGTTTTAATCTTTTCTCTACACCATTTTATTAATTCCAAAACTATAAATAAAGGCATAATTTCCATTAGGGCCTTGTACTTAGGATGACACCGTGAACGTAAACTGACGTTGTTCAAATTTAACGGTCTACATTTTGTTCAGTTGATTTTTATAACAAATTACTCCCATGAACTCATTTTCATTATAAAATATCAAAAATTGGAATTTTTTGTTAAATAAACGCTTACTTGTCATAAGATCCATGATATGACAGAGAGTTCAAAAAGTTGATGTACCTAGCCTAACTTTTTCATACCAATTTAGTACATAGACACTGTTATACTCACATACTTACAATTAAAATTATAAGTTAAATAAAGGAGGGCTTCTTACAAATTTAGGTGCAGTTACTACATGGGTGATTTTTAACAGTGTACAAGAATAGAAGGCTTAAAATTTCAAAAATAGTTGGAAGTTGAGATCGTTTTAGAAACATTAGACTAATTTTCTGTATTGTCTAATTTTCTGTAATCAAGCAGTTCTAAGGACTGTAATAACGTGTTTTGAGAAATTCCTAAATTACGAAAACATAGGCAAGATTCTAAAGTAAAAGAGAGAGTTATCATCATTATGCCGTAGAAGGTTAATTTGTAAAAACTGCACTGTTGAACTTAACGGATCGTTAAATAATGGCTTATGGAAACTTTATTATAATTTATTGGCCTGTATCGAGGTGAACTTTTATTCCATAATAATTGTTGAGTTTCTTTATATATATGACAATTAATGGAATATTTTATATCAGAGTAATTGAAATAATTGGTAATGTGTAAATTTATCAATTTGTCTACAAATTCTTCACAGGAAATATGTGCATGACTACAAACTTTAGAACATTAGAAGGGCGGTCGTAATCATTATTTCTGACAATTTTGTACTTTCGAAAGCCGAAATGGGGCCTATACATACTACAAATCCCTTATATATACTATGCATGTTATGCTATTTATGAGAATGGCATAGAGTGCATCGGACAGCTTTATGACCAACAAGTAGACTGACTATAGTGTGACACGGTCCACTAATAAATACTTTACACCACTTCCCTTAATAAAAGAAAACAAGGCGGACAAACAGACAGACAAGGTTAAATCGGTTTAGAAAGTGATTCGGAATTGATAGATAAGGTGGATATCCTTAAAGTCCATCTGAGTCTTGCATACGTACGCACAAACTTAATATATCTTCATATCACAAGTGGTGTAAGGTTAAAAATAGGGGGAAATTTTTTTCTTAAAAGTCTGAAATTCTTAATTAAAGTGAAATATTCCCATCCTATGATAAAGAAGAACTAATATGTCGATAATTCTTTACAGAAACACCGCAAAGATGTGTCAAATTTTGACAAACAATTCACATCGGAGAAAACAGACTTAACACCCACCGATAAGGTGTTTATGATGAATTTAGATCAAACAGAATTTGTTGGATTTTCATACGTTAATCCCGATTACACCGCATCATTATAAATTGCCTAAATCTCAGAACATCTTTATAAAGCAAAGCAAGAAAAGAAAACAAATGGTCATTGAATATAAGAAGAAAAAGGGAAAGTCACAAAATAATTGTAAAAACATTTTGACTTAATTTTACATAAAAATTAAACTTAAAGTTTTATTATTTACAAATTATATAGAAAATATGTAATTGTTTTAAGGGCAAACCTTTGAAAAAGAGAACACGAAAGTAATTTAGATAAAAAAGTTTCAACAAAAGCAATATTATTTATATAAATATATTTATTTAGATACACTTTGTAAAGCTTTTCTTTTTTCTTTATTCTTTTCCTTTTTTTTTTTTGTTCTTTCAATAAATTAAGACTAGGATTTAAATTAATTTAAAATTATTTTTATTTTATACATGTTGGTATATATATATATATATACATAGGCAGAACGATTTCGGAAACATCAAAAAAGGTATAGATTACATACATTAAAATTGCCTGCTTTTGACTTAACATTCATTAAATGCTGTGCGTGTTCTCGACTCAAAAATGTCATTATTCAAGATATAGATTTATTTTTATCCATAATTACCATCCTAAAAACGATTTTAAAAAAGTGCAAAAAAGGTAATTCCTTATTGTTTAATACTCAGCGGGCGTGGCTGTTTTTCTGCATTTTTGTAGAATAAAGTTGAAAATTTATATCGTATATCTGTTGTAGTTTGTGAGTAAGAAGCAGAAGACACTGCAACCGAAGATGTCTTCAATTTTAATTGCATTGCAGGCGGACAAAAGAAGGACATGCTTAGGAGCCTTCCGGATTTGACATTGGCGCAGAACGTACATACTTTATAGGTTTTCTAAAGCCTCCTTCTTGGCGTTGCGAATTTTTTGACAAAAAAATGAAATTTGACGCCTTATAACACTAAGCAGACGTGACTACTATTTTTTTCAATTATTTGCAAGTACCATTCCATCGCCCACAAAATATACGTTCAGATTTTTATAGGTATATCCGCAGTAGTTTGTAAGTAATGAGCAAAAAACCAACTTTTTGTTTTCTTTTGGACAGCAGAGATCGTCCCAGTTTAGGTGATGCTGTAGGCGAGTCCTTCAATCGGTATAATCCCTTCTCAATACCAACCCCCAACTTTTTGGCAAATTTAAAGCCGATAGCTTCACTTTTGCTGTCACTACAGCTAGCCGGACATGCTTGAATAGATTCAGATTTTGTTGGGTATCAAAAATTTATGTATACACCCAACTCTTTTGTACATAGTAGGTGCTTTCCTTAGAAATAGCTGCAAAAAAATCGTGTACAAAAATGCATGCAACACATGGTGAATTTGGTGATATGTTCCACAACTTGAAAAAACGTATAAGATGAAGCTCTATATATTTTTTCAAAAAACCGTGTAAAAAGTAATAATGAAACTCATAGTACATATTTATAACCCTACTCATTCATTTTTGTTATAAAAACAAATTGAGATTAGTGTATTAGTCAAAATTCAGTCCATTCAGTCCTATTACGTCTTTACGAACTGGATCACAAATTCTATAATCAGTAGATATGTCGCGTAAGTCTTTGTTCATTCTTAATGGCCAAACACCAGTATAGCAAATCTCTAACACATGTGTGTGCATAAACCAACTGACACACACATAGGATCTCTCAATCGTACTTTATTGTTGTATATAAGGTTCTGTGAGACACTGTCAAAATTAGAATAAAAAACTTTTTTTTGGATTCGTGTTAGAGCAAAAAATCGGCCTAATAACAGTGTATTCGCCTTCTTTGGTAAACAACGTTATTTCAAAATGTTATAAAAAAAGACAGTGCAAAAAAGAATTGGGTGTACTTTATAGGATGTTTGAAGACATTTTCTGGGTGTAGTGAACGTGTTGATAAAAAACGTATACTCAGAACGAAACGAAAATGAAAATACCTCTCATCCATTGGTGATGGATATCCGAACTGAGTGGTATATTTTTACGTTATTGCTAAGGTCCTATTTAAGTCCTTTAAAGAATTTTCTATTCTTTACGAATGTATTTGACTTTTAGGATTGCTTTCCAAAATAAAAAGCATAACCTGCTTATAAGTTAACAAAATTAATTTTTTAAACTAATAATCTAAGTAGAGCCATTATTAAATAGTGTTACCAAGCGAAAAATATTCTCTCAAAAAATCACTAGCTAATTCCCAAGAAAGCCAGTTTAAAGGTCAATAGTAAGATTTTCTGTTCAAGTTAAATTTATTAAACGCAATATCTCTTTCTTTATCTTAAACGTGTTAAGTGTTCAATGATTAAATTTCCGAAGATTGAAATCTATGTTTTCTTAAATTTAGCCAATTTTAAGTTTGTATAAATTTACATAAATATAAAATTATTGCTTATGTGAACTTCTCCAAATTCTACAGTTCTTTTCTTTTTTTTTCAATTGCTATTAAAAAAAAAAAAAAAAACATTCGTTCAATAAATAGAGAACACAATACTGAATAATTAACAGCTCATAAGCAAATTATGTTCGCCTTAAAACGGGGAAATCTAATATACTATAATATATACATATGTATACATCTTTGATGATTTTATTCCACGTTCAGTTCAAGTTTCTACTTTTAGAAGTGGATTCAAGGCGATGACCACTCTTACAACTACTGCCATCGAATTTATGTGGTTTTCAGCCTTTATCTCCTTTCTTGCCTTAGATGATTTTCAAATTATAAGCGGGTATAAGCTTATTCTGCTTGTATATAATAGACCTAAAGTCTTAGATGGTGGTTATGAAAATCATTATACAATAATTGATTGCCATGTTTTCCATTAAATAAACAAGAAGTGCAAACATATCTAATAGTTTTCAAAAAAAAAATAAAAAAATATATATTTCAAATAATAGAGAATTATCATCAAATTTCTTTTTCATTTATAAATATTTACATATACAGCTGACATTGATAACGATCTAGTTTGCGTACGATATAAAAGAAAAGGTAACAAAAAAGAGTTGCGTTTGAATTTGTAAAAAAATTATTTCGCACGAAATTCTCGTTGATAATATAACGCTAGCCCCAGCGTTATAAAAAATCTTAGCGAAAGTATCAATATGCCGCACGGAATTACGGTTTACTTGACCATTTTTTTTTTTTAATAACAAAATCTCAAAGTTTATTGTATTAAATTATCAAAAATTTAAAAAACCTAATATTCCAGTGTCCTTATATGCCAAAGAAAATATTTCAGAAATTGAAAATAGATTTATATGTATGTACAAGTGTGTGTCGAACGAGGACGCTTGCATGTATTGTTAGGAAAACGAAATATACTATATAAAATTACAAAAAGAAAACAACAAATTAATAATATCAGAGTACGTATCTTTTCAAAAATAACAAAGAAATTGAAATTTATAAGTCCTTCTATTTAACCATATTTAAGCCAAATGTAAACAGAAATTAATTCTATCCGAAATCTTTTTCGATTCATGGCATTTTCCAATCTCTGAAATCTATATCCATAGAAAAATTGTTTGTAAAAAACTTTACAATACTCATCCGATTAATTCCAATGTGTCAAGTGGCATGTTTTACTTAACTAAACGTGCTTAATCTCAATGACTAGAAATGTTTTCTATTCGACTACATCGTCTTCTCTCAATTATTCTACGACCAATAATTGTAAGTTATGCACGATAATAAAAAGTTAGAGTTTGATGAATTTTATGAACGCGTACATTTAGGCCAATAAACTTTTTAGCATAATTTTTTACTGATGTCTTAAATGAAATTATAGAAAGTATTGAGACGTTTTGCCTTTTTTTCTATGGTGGAAAAATGCAAAATATTCTTTATAGTAATTAAATTAAGAAAAGCAAATTATATTTTTCTTAGGGCAACATTTCGACGCCTACCAATCGCCTTAATGACTACCGTAAGTCTTATTATGAATTGCTGTTAAATCAGTTGGCTAATAAAATAGGTTTCTAAGAGATTGATTAGACAATTTTACAGAAATATTCGGTTGCGACCGAATCTTTTACCTCCATCAGCGTTATCTTAGAAAAGATTGGAAGAAAGAAAAAGTATACAATAAATATGTACACCCTATAAAAATGGGTGGGCGTGTTTGGTTCTTTCCATTTTTGCAGAACGCTTTTGCGGAAATTTATATCGTGTATCTGTAGTAGTTCATGAGCAAGGAGCAAAAGACACGGGAAGCCTTGTCACTTTTGTTTGCGTGCACGTGTGGACTTTTTAGGCCTCTTCTTTGACCTGGTATAACCATTTTCAATAGGTGAATGTATACCACAGATACCACACAGTTTGACAGATAGAAACGTGCACGGACTAACAGGTGTATGGCTTTTGAAATTTGCTTCTGCGCGTTATAGAGATACCAAAATAGAATTAAATTTGGATATAAGAATGGAACATTACGTAGGCAACTTTTCTCATTTTGTGTTAGAGTATCAAGAGAGTGTACGTTCCAATTTCTGTGCATTTATATGCTGCAGTTTATGAGTAATGACCAAAAAACCTCTCAAATGACATGGTACATGGTAGGCGTATCTTTCGAACGATTTGAAGTCCCATTTTTAGGGCCAGGAGAATGCTTACAACAGACATTACACAGCCGGACGTACGGACATAAACCTATTCAGAATTTTATGTTGACCGAGTGTATATTCTTTTAAGCGGTTGAAGCTTCCTTCTGGGCGTTTGAAACGTTTTGATAAAATGAAATCCTCACTGATGAGTATAGAAATAAGCAAACATAACTTGCAGTTTATTTTCTAATTTGAAGACTGCACAATCGTAGGTGGAGATTTGTAGGATTTCTAAGAGTAAAGATAGGATAGGAACTTTCTTATATATGAGATAATAAATATTTTATTCAGATTAATTTATTGAACGTTCTTCTTCGAAGACATTTTATATATACTAGCATTTGTTTAGCATTAAGCGTTATTTTAACCTTTCGATTCCATTACAATTCTGTATCCCAGATTTCAATATATCCTAGAAATAAAGAGAATCTCCAAAGATGTCCTTCCAATATAAACTCAAATTAAACTTAAGCCAAGCTGTATCGAAACGAAAAACAGTTTTATTCATATAAGAAATAAACATACGAAGCTATGTAATAATAACTAGAACTACGTACTAAACCTTATAAACTAATTGTTGTCCGCTCCGTCTTTAGATGTTTTTAGATCTTTTTTAAATGTTTTTTAAATGTCTTTTTATATTTTTTTTCAACACACTGAACTGTTCTATAGAACAGTTCTACTTTAAAGGAAACACTTCATAACTATCATGTAAAGGTTCCTTTAAAGCAAACGACTTTCGTCACATCAAAAGAATTGAATATATTATTGAAGATACCTTCAGTTTATTAAATCCTCTCTGTTTGCTAATCCTAAATACTTTTTTGAGTTTGCTAATTCCAAAAGAAAAAAAGTCTTGAGGCACTAATAAATTGAATAAAAGGAAAATCTCTTGTCGCCCTACCTAATGGAGCCATCGCGGAAAAACTTAAAAGATTCTTCCCTATTAAACTAATGAACCAGACGTCTTGATATTAACTGATCTGTAATCACCCAAGCCCTAACTGATATTAGTTTGAGAAGTGTGGAATACACAATTAGAACATAAGATAAGGGAACATTTACTCGATGCAGAAGTAATGCAGCTCTTTAACAAATCTACCGACTGCGAAAAACAAAACCTCTATCGATCTCTTTCATTTGATAATGAAGCAGGGCATTAGAGCAAATGTTTGACGCTGTAACGGACCATGCAAAACTTTATTTTTCCAAGCTGTTTTAATGCTTTCCTTAAGATCCAAAATGGATCATTCGCCTATTCCTTTCTCCACGTAAAGCTCCATTGATGTTCGCGTGTAATCCTTCTAAGCCCTTATATTGGTAATCGTAAAATAAACTATATACTTCTCTGTTTTCCAAAAAATTATATATTAAGGCTATGAACTTCTTACAATTAAAGTTCATAAGGGCATGCGTTTCCACCGACAAGGGTGTCCCCCTATCATTTTTGTTTGAAAGTATTTACAAAACGCAATTTTAACGCGAAACGAAAACATACTTAAGCAAACTGTATGTTTAAAATATACTTAGCTTTGATCTACTTTCGATTGCTTTTCTAAGAACCAAGTAAATAGAAAGTGATTTTGATGCTTGAATACTTTGCCGCACTGCCATAAGCATTGTTCTTGAACAAAATAGCATTAAGGAATTCAAGCCCGTAATAGAACGTGAATCTATTCCTACCGCTAAAGTAATTATCGGACGCCGCCAGTAGGCGTGTGTTTGAAAGGAAGAACAGAACTAAAATCGTTTGGAACACGATGGCAAACAATTTTATACATATTTTTAAAGATCTCTAATACCTATTTTTGCTTCTTATCAGACACAAAGAATATTAACACAAGTACGAATAGAGCACCTTACAATCTCGTGCGTTCGGGTACATGCCTAATTCAATGCTATAAAAGTAAAATAAAATTACCATAGTGGACCAACATTAAATATCCTCCACTTTGCTTGATAGTTATACATATAGAGACCTTTCAAAAACGGGTTTTATGTGGAAAGCTGTCGAAAAAGTGGACCGATCCGAACCTTAGGCCAAAATACGTTTGTACACGAAATTTCATATATCTGAAAAGCTTGCGACATGTAGTTTGAACATAAGCATACAAGAAGGAGAGATGGTCAGACGGACAGATGAGCATACATCGGTATAATAAAAAATGAACTTATCTCACGTCCTTCTGGCACACCTTACGTGGTGTAGAGCGAAAAAAAATGAAAAAATTTATTATAATAGTAGTGAATAATGAACAAACGAATGAATGAAAAACAGAGCAAATCATAATTGGTTAAGTAGGTTAAAATTAATTGTAAAATGAAGGGTATATTAAAATGAGCTAAAGATAAAACAAAAAATTATCTCATAATTCCCTGGATTTTCCAGTTATTAAAAACTAATGACTAACAGCTGGTATGCAATACAAATCAACTAAAAAAAGAAGCCCTCCGGGCTGCAGACACTAATTTAAAATAAAATTATCAGCTCACCTTATAACTCCTTATATTTATTATTATATTTTAATTAAAATTTAATGCAAAGTAAAAACAAAAAATCAATTAAAATGAGCAAATATAAGCTGTAATTGCGTTATGAAATTTTAAGGCAATAACTTTAAGAATTTAATATAGAAATGATAAACTTTTTTCTTTAAAATTTTTATTAATTATTAAACGAAGGAAAAATATTAATTACGATGTAATAAAGTTTACATAACTATAAACAATACAATAACTAAAAGAGCATTAGTACCTATCTAAGAATAAGCATTTACTAAAAACATTTAAAACTAAATGATGGACTAGCATTTCTAAGAACATCGCATACGCGCGTTTCATTTAAAAATAGTAAGAATGTATTTCATTTTCATTTCAAGTTAAAGTAATAAAAAAATGGAAAGTTCGCTTTAAAGCGATTCTCAATAGCCACTACTCGCATGCAAATGTATATAACATACAAAGAATGTCATTAATTGATAGCGTATGTCTAGTTAAATAATTTTTACGTCTAATTTCTTGATATTTCCTAACATTCACAATCAATGTTAAAACGATGTCTGCTAGAAAGATGTTAGAAGTTAGCTCATATTTTCACAGTTAATGTACAACGCCGAAGAAACAACAAATGGTAGACGGTCCAACATTGTTGAGTACTTTTAAAATGAGCAGGGCAGACAAAAGAACATCGCTGAGGGTCTAATAGACGCTTCTCCCTGCTATGTCTGTAGCGAGCAGCCGAAATTACCAAGTCTGCGTTCGCGGGTTCAAATCTCAATGCGGTTGAATTTACCTTAGTTACAGCTAGAGAGAATGCTCAGCCGACAAAGGCATAACTCTTACCGATTATACACGCAATCACTAAGGGGCTAAGGCCGCTTACCTATCACTTTCTTTTTCCTCACTTTTTTCTGATAACCACAGTCTTACACGAGTAGGTCACATCTCCCAATTGATCAACCAAAAACAAAAAAAAAATATATGGAATTCACATCATGCGGCGACGTGTACACCCTACGCTGTAGATAACGCAACAGTTATTTTACCGTGAACCAAATTAAAAAATAAAAATCAAATACTTACAAAAGAAAAAAAAAAAGCTAAAACACTATAGTAGGCCACGGTGTCCATTAAATACCCTATACCACTCCGCAGACGTTCGCATAATGATTTCTTAAAGTAGGGCATGATAAGGAGAGTGTCTGAAAAAGTGGTTCGTTCCATTTTCAACATTGTTCGTCCTTGGTACGGAATAAATCAGTGTCCTAAATTTCAAAGAAATATCTCGAGTAGAGCGACTTGTAGTCTCACCGCAAGAAAATAGGACAGATAGATAGACAGACAAGCTTAAACCCATTTAGAAAGTAATGCTGAAACAATCGGTATAAAAAAAGAAAGGTCTTTCTCAACTACTTTTGAGTGTTTTGCGTGCATTTGTTTTACCACAATTGACGTAGGGTATTAAAAAAAACACAATAAACTAATATATATTTTTTCCTTAAATTTTGTTAAGTGCAAAAATAATTTTCATTTAGAATTATTTATTTAATTATTTAACCTGTATTTTCAAAAAGTAAAACATTTCTTCTCATCAGTTTTATTAAATATTATATTAATTATATTACATGAAAAAGAGAAGCAAAAAACAAGAAAAGAAAAGAAAAACAAAAACAAATGGGACATAATTATGGACACTTCAAGTAACCACCTAAACATATAAATTTTAAGAATTTTAAATAAAAATTGCATTTTCATTTTTAATTCAAATTTAATTCTGTATAATCGAAATTCAAGACATAAGCTACATAAATAATACAAAAGTATATAAACAGATATATATCATTGCCTCTTCAAATATTATAAAAAATTAACATTATCAAAAACTTAAGTGTGTATTAAAATATTTAATCAAACTTTACTTTAAAGAAGAAAAATGCATTCAAAAAAAAGAAAAAACCTTAATTGTATATACAATTCTTTTAAAACTTAAATACAAAAGCGAGTTTCATTGAAAAGATATTAATTCTCCATGCATAGGGAAGAGCGGCCTCCTTTTCCTCCCTTGCTTTCCACTCGTCTCCCTACGCAAAGCAAAAATTCTGAATTTTAGTAGTTACTGTACTACAAAGTATAAACTAGTTGAAACTAAGTTGAACACAGGGAAACAAGCAAAGCGGACAGACGAACAGATAAACTTAGATCGATTCAGAAAGTAATTCTGGGTCTGGGTTAGTGAAGGTCAAACAGGAAAACTCCTTGCTCACTGAATTTAGGAAAGTAGAGCAAATATTTGAGTTTAGGCCCCTAACATTTTGGTAAATGAAAGTTACTGGGCCTAAATAAACATTTAGTTTTTTGAGGGTGGAAGAGCTACCTAGTATTACAGAGTCGGTACCAAAGAACGAATTCCTTAATTAAGGATCCAACTGACCAGAATCGTTTGTTTAGGAAAATTTCCATATATTCAGTCGGAACTAAATCTTTAAAAAACGAGATAGTTCTAGGTTGAGATGGAACCAATTTAATAATGCTTACACGCTTCAGACGGATAGGACCTTTGCAGCCAGATAAATATTTATGTAATCCGCGGAGGTGCCTGACGCCAGTCTTGACACGAATATAGCTTTTCTCAGGGGTACTGCCGACAAGCAGACGTCATTCCTACTAGAGACAACAGAATTTGCAGGTAGAGAGTTTTAAGAGTTTTGAGTTGGGGAGAATGTAGCGGGGACGACCACAATTGAACGTGGAGCTTGCGCGATTTGGACAGCATCGTAACCAGCAGACACCCCCGAGCAGCCAGGGGGAGAGGCGGATTTGTTATTTTTATTATATATTGTTTCGGAGATGTACACAGAGTATTCTGAACGGCACCACTGGGAGGAGATACACTTTCCACTTCAGAATAGCTAGAACGATGGGGCTAACGATAGCGCAAATGCTATGAAAATGAAGGTGAAGTACACTAGCGTTGGTCTTTTACAGGCTGGAGCAGAAGACGAGTGCCACCCAACGAACATTGCCGTGAGTTTTTCAAACCTTCCACACAAAGTCACGAGATTTTTGCCTAATTCAGAAAAGTGACTCCTTGTTTGCGGGAAAGTTTAGAAAAGTGAATATCCCGCTTCCTACAATTGGCTATTACCAACGTAATCCTTTCGAAAGATCTAAAGGTAACAAGCAATCAATCATTCAGAAACGCGGTCCGTTTTTGGTCGACATGATGTAGTAAAACACTCCATATCAAAAAGTAACAGAAAAGAGATTGAAGAGGGAAAGGACAGAGATTGTGAAAAAAAAAAACTAAAAAGTTTGTCTCACACAAAAGTTATCTCTCAAAACTAGACATTAAATAAATAAATAAATAAAACTTATTACGGAGAGTATGAAATGCTGATCATGAAAAGCAAAATGAACACCACAACAGAACGATGAATATAATTCACTTAATTTCAACGACTTTTATAGTTTATAATTAGATTATTCTTTAAAGGCGTATAAAGCTATATGACGTTAAGACAAAAAATTTCAAACTTTTTTCGCATAAAGTAAAACTGCACGTCTAAAACCCGCGCGCAGAGTTGCCAAACTTGACATTGGTACACTATAATAATAGGTAGACGCGATCAATTTTTGTAGTGGTATCACGGCATCGCCCATAGAATGTGCATCCAAATTTTTGTACAATAAGTGCTATAGTTAAGGAGTAACGAGCAAGTAACCAATATTGTATTTCTTTTGAAAAACAGAGCTGTTCACAGTTTACGTAGCGCCGTGAACGTGTCCTTCGTGTATTGAAAAGGATAGTTTAATATTTACAGCGTACAACAGACATTACATAAAGTGGCGGACGGAGATGCTTATATCGATTCAGAATTTGATGCTGATCAAGAATATATTACTTACTTTGTGAAGTCTCTGAAGCTTCCTTCAGTAATGAGTATAAAGTTGTCATAATTTGTTTTTTCAATTCATACTTAATTAGTGCTGGTTTCTGAATGGGGTTTTGCTTGATTTTTTTTTTTTTTTTTTGTGAAAACCGTAAAACTTTAGGATAAACAGAGAGAATAAGTTATAACCTACAGCGGAATTATCTTAACTTATAACAACTCTGGTTAATTTTATAAAAAAAAGTTAATCGAATGTTTTTATTGACAATGTCCCTGGTTTACTTCAGCCTACCATTTGTGAAACTTCTTCGTGCAATTGTGAAATTGCTTTGATTTTTCGCTAAAAGCCGTTAGCTGGTTTTTTCCTTTACTTGGTTTATAAAAAAATATACCGTTTCTTAAGTAGACAGAGAACAGAGATGCTTTCAATAAATAGTGCAAAACACCGTGCCAATTCTGTTAAATGACAATAAATGAATAAAAGCACCGTACCATTTCTTTTAAATGAGAATAAATGATGGAAAAGCACCGTACAATCACGTAAGACCAGCTCGCTAACAAATTGAAAAATTAGGAGTATTAATGCAAATGGATGTTATTCCTCATCACTGTGATACATAAAAAAAAAAAAAATAAAATCAAGTTCGAAAAACCGAAAGTAAATTTACCGCGCCCATCAGATACACCGAGTCAACAGAGCTAACAAAAAACTCTTAAAGCCCAAGAATTAATTGTCTTTTTCTTTAGCAAGCACATCATTAGAAATATATTTTAAAAATATTTTCCTTTTAAATAAGCAATAAAATTTTACAAAAATGTATCTTAAATCACAAATTGATATAAGTAGTAATATTTCAATTTATTAGCATAAATATAAAGAAAGATAGACTAGATGTTGTTTTCATGGCACACACACCATCTTATTTAATTTGGACATAACATTTTTCATTCTTTTTGAATTTCCCCAATTTAACATTATTCCAACGTTTCAATTTAAATTCGTACAAAGCTAAACCGAATTGATGCACAAATGATGAAAACTGTTGCATTATATAAGCGAAATTTAAGGCTGGATCTTGCTCTATAAAACAAGTACCTTCCAAATTCTCATTGATCCAATGGGGCGGATCAATTTTACATGGATGCCTAGCGAAAGCATTAGGGAAAGCTTCAGTTGACAGATGAGGATAGAAAATTCGTTTAAGATCATATTGAAAGAAAGTGGCGTTTATCTGTGACAAAGCATAATTAAGATCGCCGCTTAGAGAAGTGGGTATAGCCAAAAACGTGCGATAATGTAATTTTTTAGTTTCCTTTTTCACCTCACAATTGGAAGTAATTAGTATCAGCTTTTCCAACAATTGTCCCAAATCCAAGTTGCCATACTCATAAACGTAGAAATCTTTTAAACGTTTGAAACGCTGACCGGTTTCACGATTGAAATGTATTTGCTGAGAACTGGGCAAATTAATAAAGGTTAATGGCAGGCTATACATGTGCGAAGTAATCAAGTGTAAATGTTGATTATCTGGTTTCATTTTGACTGCTTGCTCAAAATGTTGGGCCAAAGGAAATACTCCGGCTTGGTGTATAAAACCAAAAAATACCGTAAGTAAAATGTTCGCAATATACCAAAATCTTAGAATTTGTTTTGAGGAAGCTTTCGTACACAAAATATTCTGATAAAGCCATCTAAGCAAACTGTGTTCGCTACGAAAAGGATATTGACTGCAGAAGCCTGTCATTAGTTTGGGAGCGTGTAAAATTATTATTGGAAAGCTTAATGGTATAAGAAATCTGGGCTCTTGATGATTAATAAGCGATAAAAAAAACAAAGGTACAAACATTGAGGCTGACATTAAGCCAGCAATACTCTGAACTCTAGGCAAAGCCTGATACTCGCCACGAAAAAACCGTATCATTAATTGACCGAATGTAGCTAAAGCTATTACACCTAATACACCATAAAGTAATGGCATATTAATAAGTAAATGTATGTACCGAGGATGTAAACCATGCTGAGCTGTTTTCCCAGAGTCCAAGTTATATTTAATGAAATTCCAAGGCGTAAATATAAAATTATTTATATCAACATTCATCATATGTATCTCCCCAGCTGTTAAATAACGATAATATAAGGAATCGCAGATAATGAAGAAAACTGTAGCAGGTATAGCACTCAAGCAAAATAAAAGCATACGTAAATGGAAATGCACAAAGGTAACCGCTTTGGATCCCATGCCTCTTAAAAGCCAAAAGAAAACCATTGGAGCTCCGAATAAAAAAAAAGTTGGACGGTTAAATACTCCAGTTACACACAAGGAAGCCATTATAAAGAGGCGATTGAAATTGTGAGAGGGTAAAGAGTTTTTTAACTTCCATATCTTTACACGTTCTCCAATGGACGAAGCCTTATCATATTTCTCTTCCAAGTATTCCTTTTTATAAACCAACGTATTAGTAGTAATCATACACTCCGCCACAAAATATAACAGCAAAGAGCATAAAGTCATCTCAATGGTATTGGAAAAGGTGTGAGTGCCGAAAACCAACATCACCCAACTGCTTCCCATCGTTAACAAACGAATTTCATGTTTGAGACCATACAAACGACAAACTTTGTATAAGGACCAATCATTCAAATATGATACGATGCAATATATCAAGCGAGGAAAAACCAAAAAGGTATAGCTCCAAAGTATGTCCTTCCTAAAATAGTACTTGATATAAACAGCAACAACTTCCAGAACACTGCAGGGAATACGTAGTAAAAGAAACTGCAGCGTCATGCTTCGCATAGGCATTGTATTGTTAAATTCCCAGGTACGCACATGTTCCAATTGAAAATGGTCCCCTAATAATAGCATATTTCTTAAGAAATTCATTATTGGAATTCAATTTCGTACCATTTATAATCTCCACACTTTGAAAGTGCTCGTCGGGATGCACATATCCAAGCTGAGGTATGAATACCAGAACCATTCGCAAAACAGCGAAAAATAAATAAGTGCTCCAGTTTTCGTCAGTGCTTGGACGTTGTTTCTTTCGCCACACGTTATTAATATTATTTATAAATTTCATTATATTCTATTATTTTTTTTTTTTGGTTTGTTGAGTGGAGATGGACTAAGCCAATAGATTATCATAGTAAAAGCAACGTCATCAATATATATTTTTTCTAGTGCATTCAAAAAATTGAATTTTCGTATCGAAAAAAATCAGGAGAAAATGATTGTGGTCATTTAATTATTTTATTTACTTTAAAATTGTTTTTTTCTATTTTATTTTTCTCCCAATTTCTATATTTATTGCAGGTGGCAAGTAACTGAAAGAATAACTGCTGAGCAAGTCTGCAACTGGCAGCAATTCTATTAAATTGAAAGAGTAACTGCGGAGCTAGTGAGCAACTCAATTCTATTAAATTAAATCAAACCAAAAACAGCTGTGCTTACATGGTTGCAATATTATTAATTTGTGATAAAAAACTGTGTACAGTATGGCAACACTCCGCGCGTGTTATAGTCGCGTTTTAATTCTGTGGAAGAAACATTTCAAATTTATAACGTATTTCTTGCTTTTCGGCTTTATTCGTGTCTAAAGCATAGAAATTCTTTAAAAGTATATTATTATTATTATTATTTTAATTTTAGACTAATGAATTGAATTCTTAGACTAAAAAAAGAGACATTGAGCACTAGCAACACAGGCTATCGGCTATGTTGTATAAAATGCGTAATTTAACTTATATGATATATTAATCTTTTATATGGAAAATTCATTTTGGTTTAGTGCAGTCAACAATTAGAGCTCTTTTCCTATTAATCTTTCTTTACTGTTTGTTTGGCTTTCGGTCTCTTGTTACAGTGGAAAAAATGTGAGAAGTTTGCTTTAATTTGCTGAAAATCTTTCATGCAGGGAGAGCTCGTGTTGATGGGACAATTTTGTCCATCAAATATACTCCCAATGAAGCAATTCGGGCAATTCGCAATCACATCCTTCAACAGCTAAACGAGGAATTTGAAGAAATCGCGCGCGTTAAATCCAATCGCCTTTTCTATAAATTAAATCCCACATTTCAATTCAAACCCTTTTCTGTATCTTCTTTTAATTCCTGGGAAATCAAAATTCTTTATAGACTCATGAGTGGTCATACTTATGACAAAGTTTATTTAAAAATGATTCGCGCTATACCATGTGATGTTTGTGAAGTTTGCAATGTTGTTGAGTCTGCTGAGCATCTAATCTTCAGATGTCACAGGCTTTATGGCATTAGAGATTCCTTTAGCTTTTTCAAGTTATATGGCCGTCTCCTCGATCTCTTTGCAGTAAAAAATGTACGTCATCTCGGGGAACTAACTTTCTTTATTAGAAAAGCCATTTTATCCTTTTACAATTTTTCTTTTCCTCCTCTTTCCTTTTTTTTTTTTTTTTGTTTTTTCTTTTTTTGCGTTCAATCATTTTCAATTTCCATGACATTCCTTTTCGTTTTCAGCCAAAGTTTGCAACACTGTCTGACTTTCAAGGACTCAACAAGCACACTATACACACACACACACATACAATTACATTTAACATAATCACTCCAGTTATTACGGCCGCTCTTATTTTTTTGTTACGGTTTATACATAATCGTGACTAAAAATTACAACAGTTTATTATTTGGACATATAAGCCAGAAATTTATTGGCTTAGTCCATCTCTGTTCAACATACCAAAAAAAAAAAAAAAAACAAAATTTGCTGAAAATTTGTGCCGTGAAATTTTTAAGCTTTTTTATTCTTCTTTTTTTTCTTCATAAGCTCCTTTTGTTGTTTTCACTGGACATGAATTATTTATTTACACCACGTCGGGCGAAAACAGGCCCTAAATCTAAGCGATTCATTTTGTGTTGGCTGTGTGATCGTTTATGCAAAGTGTGCTGGTATTATCGGCGTGCTGCTGATGCAGTCCTTGACCCATCAAAAGGCTTACGATGGTCATGTCCTGACAGTAGAAAGCGAGACATAGATTTCTACAAACTCTTCACGGAGACGTGAAATTGTTTCTCAGATTTCAGAAAATATCTCCGCTCCTTGTCGGAGAAATCTGAAATAGTTAAGGCTAGGTTTGATGGGTGTCGTTATATTGAGCACTCATCTTCTTCTCCAGCTAGCAAAGTTACAATTCGCAGCGTAGGGTGTGTTGCGTCACCTCTGAGTTCTCCTAAGTCCGATTCGTTGGTGAAAGTCAGCGATTCCTCAAAGTCTACAAAGAACGATAGCGTTTCTGCTATTGTTGAGTCGGTCGGTAACAAAAAAGTTACAAATAAGCAGGAAAGTCCTTCTGGTTTGAGCTATGCTGAAGTGGCATGGGTATCTCTTCTCATTGGCGTCACTCAATCTATTCAGGCGTCATCGCCTAAGACTAATAATGAGAATAGTAAATCATCCTATCCCTCTGACTGTTCGAGTGTGAACGCTGGTCTCCAAACTGGGCACGTCACATAAGCTTTTCGTGCAAGTGTGGTTACCGCTTCTATATTCTCCCCATCTCCCATAATACTAACGCAGTAGCCCTTTGCCTTCAAAAATCTTAATATTTCGTCAGGCTCATTATCTCTTCTTTATCAAAATGTTAGAGGCCTAAATTCAAAAATTCGTTCCACTTTCCTAAATTCAGTAAGCACGGAGCTTTCCTGTTTGACCTTCACTAAAACTTGGTTAAACCCTTATCTACAGTCGTCGGAACTTCTCCATAATTCGTTTCAGGTTCTCAGAAATGATCGATTGTAACGCAATGGTGGTGGTGTTTGCGTAGTGGCCAAGTAATCTAAATCGATATAGTCACTGCGTTGGGTGACTTCAATTTGCCTCATGTAACTTGGTGTATTTCCTATCACAAGCATGATGGTTCGTTTAAACGTTTTGATGTTCTAAATCTAACTTTTTCAAATAAATATTGTGATATTTTACTGCTAAAATCTCATCCTTCACATATTATGCTTGATTTCTTAACTGGAAGTATTGAAAGTTTTCTGTGATCGCTCTACAATATATTAAATCTAGCTATTTCTGCATCTGTTCCGGTCAAGCAGTCCCGAACTCGAAACAGGTGTCCCCCGTGGTTTAATAAGACAAATAAATATTTCAAGAATAGAAAAAACACTCTTTTCAAAAAGTATTCGAAAAGTGGCTCTGCTTTCGACTATTTCGCTTACTCGGTGGCAAGGCATAGATTTAACTCCCTCAACCACCAATATTATTGCAGTTCACCAAATCCTCTCTGTTTGCTAATCCTAAATACTTTTTTAAAATTGTTAACTTAAAAAGAAAAATTTCCGCATATCCCTCGCATTTTTCTTTTAATGGCTCTGATTCCTCGGATGGTTTTGAAATCTCAAATCTCCTTGCTGAATACTTCCGACGAAACTTTACGGCTACTAATTCCGATTTATCAGCAAACTATCCTTATCCTATAACTAATTTGTTTCAATTTCCATTTTGGTTATTTCTATCCACAAGAGTGGAAGTAGACAATTTGTTGAGAACTACAGAGGCATAGCCAAGTTGAGTGTCTTGCGTAAGTTGTTCAAGCGAATTGTTACTCAGCATTTGGCTTTTGCCATTAACGTGTCTATTTCTCCACACCTACGGTCACCAATTTTTTAGAGTTTACTTGTCGTGTTTTCAAGGCTTTTTTTGGTGGCTCTCGCACTGATATAATATATATTGATTTAAGCAAAACATTTGATATAGTTAACCATAACTTACTTGTATTTAAACTCCAAGCCTCTGGCTTCATTTTCTATTTAGTGAAATAGATAAGCTCTTATCTGCACAATAGATCATTCAGTATCTTGTTTAACTTCATCACCTCGGATGAATTCCCCGTGACGTCTGGCGTACCTCAAGGCAACCACTTAGGTCCCATTTGATTTAGTTTATACATTAACGATCTTCCATCGGTGGTCAATTCCAGCCAGATCTTAATGTATGCTGATGATGTGAAACTGTTTTCTTCCTTCTCTGATGATTCGCAATCACATCAACTTCAAAGTGACTTGGATAATTTTGTTGCATGGTGCTCTTTGAATTTTCTGAAACTAAATCTGAGTAAATGTAAGAAGCTTTCTTCCTTAAGAAGAAAGTCATTCACTACTCAGTATTTCATTGATTTGCACAAGTTGGAGGACTTCGATTCGTTTACAGATTTAGGCGTTCCGTTTGACATTAGGCTGTACATGTGTTTGGTTAGACCTATACTCGAGTATGCCTCCGTCGTGTGCTCACCTTTATATAGATGCTATGTAGATTCAATTGAGTCTGTTCAAAAACAGTTCCTGCAATTTGCTCTTAGGAATTTGGATTGGGACCCAATTGCCTCTCTTCCCCGCTATGAAAATAAGGTGCTTATCCTTGAGAAACGTAGATTTGTTCTTTGGGTCTCCTTCTTAATCAAAATAATAAATGGTACTATTGACTCACACGCATTAATGTCCCTAACTGCTTCTCTGGGCACTTTATCTTTATTAAACTTAGTCAATACAATTATGAGCTGTTTAATCCGCTCAGAGTTGTTTGCAGAAGCCTAAACGATGTCTATCACTTATTCTCATTATCGGACTCTTTAAAGTCTATTAAAGCATCTTTGCTTAATATACACGATTTACCTATGTCGTACTTGAACTAGCATTTCATTCTTAATATCTCATTTCTTATTTATAATAATATTGTATTGGATCTGTTCTTGTTGCGTGTTTGCTTCTGTTCCAGCTGTGTACATGCTTTTTTTTCTTTGTTTTTATTTATTCACACATGAACTATTACTTCTAACTTTTTAACAAATTTTTAAACTTACTTGCCCATTATTATTCTTCTTTTCTTTCCTCTTTATTGTATACTAGTTTTAAAACAATTAGTATAAGATTTTCTATTAAGATGTACTGTAATTTTCTTTAGTTGAATTTCATGTATAAGTGAATAAATAAATAAATAAAATAAAAGTAAACGATCGTTCAAAGATTCGTGAATATGTTCCCTTGTTCAACGATTCGATATCTGCCCATTTTTCACACCGGACTTCAAACATTTTTTATCATATTTTATTGAATTTTTTATTTTAAACGTTATTTTATCAAATAAAATTTGAATATAGAGGACACCGCAGGGGTCAACGGCAGCGGAAGTGAATAAGAAGAGTTCTCACAAGCGGAAACAAGCGTACGGTTGAAAGACACCGTTGGGAACCCGCAATTGCAACTGCCAGAGTTAAAATGCCTTAATATGTAAAAAGTTTCTTTAAACCGTAGTTTTTCTTGTCCTTATTCACAAACGTCTTGCAGTTTCCGGATCTAAAAAAGCTGCAATGACTATTTTTGCTAATCATGACATTCTAGAAAGCCAACCTCCTAAAAAAACGAAACGTAGTTCGAAGAAAACTATCGAAGAAAATCAAACTTCTCAGAGTTCACGACGAATTACAGACCAGCAGAGAGGAACAACCTACTACTACTAAGCGTTCAAGAAACTTTACTATTTAGTTTTATAATCAAGAAAGTCAACATCCAGAATTTTACTATTCTTTATATACCGCGATAAAAGAAGCCAAAACAAAAGTAAAACCGCCAATACGGAGTGAGAGAGAGTGCCTCGTATGATGCAGGAAGACGTCTCACTTTTTAAAAAGTTTAAACAAAAGAGATTATATTCTACTATTACTATTACCCATAATAAAAACTAAGCATTCTCTCTACTCATGTATGAAAAACAGCTGTTAATTTAACATTCACCGTCGATAAATAACATCGATGAGAAAGAGCAATGTATATGAAAACCTGTCCTCGCTCAACAGCGTTGTCATTTACTCAAAGCGCGAAGAAGATTAACTCAGTCCGTTTGAATGTAACAATTAGTGGCGTTCGTTTCGCAGCCTCCAATATTGATATAGAAACCGTACTTCAACAACTAGGTTTCATTTATTTTAGACGGACTTGTTCTGTTTGAAGAAAATGTTAAAGTGCCTTGTAGTTAATTGGAAATGAACTGCAAATGAATTGGAATTAAAATTATATATGAACGTAAACGTAATCCTACGAATTAACATATGGATCATAGGGTTTCAAAAATTTCTTCATGGGATCGAATGTTATAGGTGATAAGAATGAAAAACATGGCCTTTTTCCAAGATCGTGTCAGTTTTCTTCTTACTATGGCCGTGAAATTACACAGATTACGGCCATGTTAATAATAATAATTATTAATAATTGATCAAAGAATATTTGCACCCATTTTTAAATTCCTATATTTTCGTGATTGTAACTTAAGCACAGAAATTATAGATCAAAGCGATCCGTAACAATAGACTTGGGAAAAATGTGAAAACTGGAGCACATAAAGAAAAACTAATGGTCAAAAAATACATCCTTCATCCCAACTTTTCTAAGCTTAAAAGATCGAAAAAATGATATTAATCCACACGGCAATTCTAACGTCAAGCGTGACATCCAATGTTTAACAACTGCAAATTTTTAAACGCTCTTAATGAATTACTAAGTGAGTTACGAAGTGTGAGTGCGCCTTCGGACCACGTTGTATGATCCTTCAATTTAAGATAGACGTAAAGCAAATTTATTTAAAACTAAGGCATACATTTGTCTCTGATAAAATTTTAAAGTAATGACTGCTAAATTTACAAAATTTGTTTGCGTATTTTACAGCTTTAAGAAATGCTTGTATATAACTAATCGCTACAATCTTCTTAGTAGGAATTACTGTAAGGAATATCACCGAAATTCGAACAAAAATAAATCAAGGAAAATATTTTCTTGTCATTTTGTTTAATTAAATTACGATAGATTAAAAACATTTAACTACGAACTTGTAAGAGCAAGATCGTACCCCAGTTAGATTTTCAGTTCGTTTCAAGACACCATCTTACATTTGCCTTCTAACCCTATAACCAAATTTTTTTTTTTTTTTACACAAGATTACAATAAGGTTAGCAAACAATAGACTTTCACTACTTCACTAAAGGCAAACGAAAAATAACAGCAAATTGTGAAAAAAAAAAATTATTCACAATAGAATAACTCATCTATTACTTGTACAAACCTATAATTGCACGAAGAAGAAGAATATTACAAAGATGAAAAAGTAAAGCAATTTCTCTATCTTATTCTAAAACAAAACAAGCTCTTAAGAAAATAATACAGTCCTTCAAGCTGGATATGAAAGCCATATGTGGCTCCCTCACAATCCATATTCAAAAAATATGAAATACATAAACGCAATAATGAAATATGAAAACTTGTCATATTGAGCTATCTAAATGGTGATTAAAAAATATCAAAATTTACAATTCAAAGAAAGAATTAAGTAATAAAATGGAGCAATTGTCGGGTGTTATGATCATCATCATAATCGGGGGTGGAGTTTTGACTTTCGTAATGTTGTTTATATTTGCCAAAAGGCAAATAATGAGATTTACATTGAGAAGTCGAAGAGGACCTCACATGCCCATAGGCAATGATGCCAAAAAAGTAAGTATGTTTATTGTTTGATTTTGGCTACGTAAGATAATACATTTCTCATCGTGTAAATTTACGATAATTTGATGAAACTACTTTCGCCAACTTATTCGTATCATAGTTACCAATTTATGGCGTTTGCGAAAATTTTTAAACCTATAATTTTTTAAGGCTTTAAGAAAGGAAATTGAGCGTCGCTTAGATTGCATACAAAAAATAGTGCAGGAGCCCAAACTGCTATGGACGGATGATAAATACATCCTGCAGCCTGACAAAACACTTGCACCCTATCATTATCGTATGCAAGCTGTAGATGACGTTAAAATATTGGGTGAGCTTGAAAAAGTAATGCGTAAATTTTGAATAGTTTTTTATTTGAAAAATTGCAGAACAAGAAATCTTTAAAAGTGATGGCTCTGCTCGCCACCCCTACGATAGTTTAAGGGCCTTTCTATTGACAACTTTGTCAGCTACGCTGAATGTGGCCAGTCAACGTACGATTCATCAATTTTGTGATATGTACGAGCACGCCCGTCATGATCCCAATGAATTTGGCAGCGACGAATACGAATCATTTCATTGCATGCTGCTAAAGTTAATTGAAGCGTAAGTTGTTTCTTAACGAGTTGCCCGGCTATTCCGAATTTTTATTTATACAAACAGAGCCAAACAATTGAGATCGTTCAATTCGCGTAAAACTTCACCGGCTCGCACCCCCAAGAAAACGAATAAAATTCCATCGCTATTAGATCCATCACGTTTAAAACCACCCCCAGCCACTATGAGCGGACGCCTGACAACTTGTCATTTGCAACCGTCTAACGACTTGACGCCAGGGCAACATTCAAAAGTTAATTTAACTTTGGGCTTACAAGGACGCGACAGTTTGGACAGTTGTGAAATAGTTACCAACCCTTTACACTTGCAAACTCCCGCAGAACGCGACATCATTATAAGGAATCGCATAAAAACGCCAACTTTGGATGACATACCAGTTAGAGAGGAAGAAGACGATACAACCATCGAAGCCGATGACGAAGAGATTATTAGTGTTTCTTCTGTACAGTTTAATTGCATGAAACCTTCCAGTCGAGTTTGAAGTAAATACAAAAACTGTAATTGAAAGAAAGAATAAGTTTTTAATTTTCCAAAAGACAAGTTGGTTTTTTTAGCGAATGAAAATAGTGTCATTTTAAAAGCAGAATAGCAAAAGCAGCATAGCAAAATATGCGACAATTTTAAAGATGAAACATAAAATATATGACTTTTTACTGGCATTTGTGTTTTGTCTCTTTTCCTCCTTCATCTGCTTCACTATCGTTCTTTTGTGCAAAATTTATCAAATCTAGTAAACGGCTGCAATAACCGTACTCAGGGTCATACACGCGATTACTTTATGAAACTTATCATTCAAAGCTATACAATCATATCTTCATACATACATGCATATCTTCAGTATACCCGAGAATAGCCTTCATTGGTCCATTGGCAACTTCCTTAATTTTTTCTTTAATTCCGTCAGCATTGGCTCCGTTTTGTATACGTACTGTTAAGTCGACAACATTGATCGTAGGTACGCGGAAATCCGTACCCGTTAATTTTCCTTTTAAATCGGGGATTTACCAACAGCCTTGGATGCGCCAGTCCTAGCTGGAATAATATTGTTATAATATATGTTTCTTGAGCAACACCACACATTCTTCGGTAGTGTGGGTATAATTATATATTGATAATAGAAGCAATTACATAAAAATTCTTAATTTTCAAAATTCGCAATTTTCTGCGCAACATTATGAACAAATTCTAATCGATGCTTCATCCGGAACTGTAAACTTATATTATTATATATCGTAGTTTCAACATAGGGAAAAGCTATTGTAGTCATTGTTAAACAAATGGAATGCTTTATTCAAGACACTTTTAATCTTACAATTTTACAATTTTCTGTTATACTTATAATTGCATCTATATACGTATATATATATGTGTGTTTGTATTTCTATTATTATTATTATTATTATAATTTTAGACTAATGAAATAAATTGTTAGACTAAAAAAAAAAGACATTGACCTCTAGCAGCACAGGCTGTCAGCTCTAATATAAATAAAAGTACATTAGATAATGAGCTTAGTAGTATTAATAAAGTAATATATAGAATTGATATTCGGTTCTGAAGCTAGCAAAAATTGAGTACATATAAAAAGGTTCAGTGTTTGACATGTCTTTAGCAAATTGAACCACTGTTTGTTGTCAAACTTAGAGTAAATAAGAAGATCTTACCCATAAGCCCTTGGTTATTAGAATTTTGAAACGCATTTATTTACAATATCACCTTTTTTTGCAATATGGAACTCGAACGACGCTTAGTTAATGTTATTGCAGTTTGGTTGATATAACTGAGTGCAATGAGACACATCATCGGAATCCATTGACCAATCGAATTGAATAGTTTCCTTGAAACGGTCACACTGGTAATATGATGATGGATTAACAGATTGGCTACGGGACTTAAAATTAAACACAATATCCACATGACAAAATATGGAAGAGCAGATAATAGAGCATGAGATTTCATATCCAAGTTTAATGCGCAATTTAAGTAGGTAGGTACTTCAGTTAAAAGGGTATAAAATCCCCAGGTGAAGCCACAATGACCTGCAATCAAGGCAAAAAATGGCACGGAAGTGAATATAGATTTCCAGGGAACATCCACATCCTATAAGGGATATTTTGTTATGTGAACTAAAAACAGCATGACTCCGAATATTACGGCGGCCAAATGGGGGTTGAGTTAAGAACGCAGAGTTGGCAAATTCAACGAATTCACTAACTAACCGTTTATCAATACAAAATAAAATAAATAAATATGAATTCTTAAACGAAAGCGAAAGTGTTTGTAATGTTTTGCTAATTTGGATTTATTGGTATTTGAAAGTAAAGGAACAATTTTTGGAATGAGTTTTGCCGTCGACGACGATGTTCTAGCTAATATTAAAGTTCAAGAAGATTCTGATAATGAAGTTTTTGGAGCAGTGTTTGCAGAAGAAGAGAAATTAAAAGACGACTTTCTTGATCCAATTGAACTGCAGAGGAAATGCGAAAATTTTTGTGAAGATCCGCTTCAACATGAGGAGAAAATCGATGTAAAAGATTTTCCTTGGTAATACCATTTTAAACGATTTGCCAGATTATCAGCCTTCTGGAAAAGGCCCAGCAAAGAATGTTTTCAGCCCTGTGGAAGCATGACATCTGCTTATGGATTTACCTATATTGACATAACCATCAGTGCAAATAAAGGGCTTGAATAAGAAAATAAGAATATTTTACTCTAATGTAATCTATCGCAGCATTGACAATACTGTGAAAATATATTCCGTTGCAAAGTTGATAACATTAAAAGGAAATCATTAAAAAAAGGCTTGCAAAATTCAAAGTTTAAGACTACGAAGACACGTAACAAACGTTTCGTTCACTTTTGAGAATAGTTGCTCATATTCATAGTCATGTTTAAATGATGATGAAACACGCTGGGGTTTTTAGAAATGTTTATGTTTATGTGGTTGGAAGTTTTTGAATTAAAATATCCAATTTTCGATCAGAAAGGCAAACGTATGTTAATATATGGCCTTTCAATTAGTATATCAGAAATCCACTTTCCATTTCATTTTAAAGACATAAAGTGCTTTTACGATTTAGTCCTGGGAAGTGGGAAACTGCTCTGTTAAGGCAAACTTTACCTTGTCTTTCAGATTTAAGTAACTGCGGTAAAATCCGCCATCATGATCCCCTTTTGAAAAGCTGCAAAGCTGGCACAAATGATATTCAGGTAATCGAAAGTGAGTCAACATGCCAAACAATAAAAAAATGTGTCTCCAAATTCAACTTAGCCAAGTAAAATTGGCATTCACCAATGCATAATAATAATCTCTCTCTATGGGTAGAGCACACTTCTGACAAAAGCGAATATACAACACTCTAGCTGTTATCTTTGTAAGATAAAAATAGAACGAAAAAGATTTTCGCATTCGACATACTTGACTTCGGATCATCCTTATGTTTTCGAGGCGGTACAAATGTTTTAGCGTTAGGTATAATATTTACACGTGCCACTATTATCTCGGGCTGGAATTATAAAAATTATATTTCACGAGCAAAATGTTGCCACATACCGTTACATTTGAGTCTAGATCATAAAATTTAAAAGTAAACATATCATGATTGTCTGATAAATCACCGGTAGTAGCCTAGAGACCGAAGAAATAGCCCGTAGGTAATTCTACATTGTTAACGGCAAAGCAGTTCTTCCATTCGCCACGGTTCTCCATAGCTGTCGACACAGATAAAATGTTATTTTCGTAGCGTATACTGATGTGCGTATCAAAATTGTAATTACGAAAGCGTACTTCGCAACTGGCTAATTGGGTATTTGTTCCATCACGGTCGCGATCATAGTGGAGTTGTTAATCATCGCACTTAAATATGGATGTTGGTGCTGGAAATCAAATTTAAAAGAAAAGATGACAATATTCTTGACTGTGTGGTGTGTCTATACATTGTGAGGAATTAATACAACCTATATAAAATGAAGAGAATCTCTGAAATAATGAAGGTATAAAAACTTAGATTATGAGGTGTATTGTGCTTACTATAAGTGTCTAATATAACTACTAGAACAGAAAAATTATCTTTACTACCGAAAACTGGCCCTGGTTGCATACGTTCCTTGGCATACCATATGGCAAAACGGCCACCAAATAATTCTGTACCTTTGCCGTGAACTTTAAAAGTCACTTGAATTTTCCAATTGACAGACATGCATGGCTGAAGTTATTAAAAAAAAATTTTCCTTGAAAAATCATATCGCATAACTTGAACTTTTTAATTCACCGGAAAATTCCAAATAGCTTCGCTTTTTGATCTGATCTGGTGTCAGACTAAAATCCACTGATTCTGGAATGGAAACAATACTTTCTAATAATGAGTTTCATAAAAAATTACTGTACTCAGAAATTTACCCATAACTTTCACAGCGTCTACAAAATTTTGCCATTCAGCGATTTTCTTGGTTTGACGTTGTATGATGAGATATCCAATTTTTTTACTCAAGGCACAACTAAGAACTAACAGCCAACCGTGCTTATGTTCCAATGAATGTTGTGGGAAAACCTCCAAGCATTCTTTAACATTAGCGTCAAATTCTCGATCATCGAGTCCGTAAGCCCATAATAGCCTAAACTTGAGCTACTTGTGTACGCATTATTTCCGCGAAATCTTTTAAGGAATTATTCAAAGGTTCTAGAAGATAAAGCAACGAAGAGGCCAACAATTCAGAAGCAGCGTTTAGTAAATCATGTAAGCACAAAAGATTTGATTCACTTGCAAAAACGCAAAAGGATTTCCAACTAAACTCTATGAACAAAATAAAAAAAAAAAAGAGATAGCACATCTTTTGGCTTTCACACTGCGTTATTATCAGTATGATAAAGACAATGAAAGACTTCAGTTTGCATAGGATTGAAATGCGTAAAATTATATAAAGATTTATAGACTGGATTTTTCGGAGCACTAATAGCTATAGGTTTCAGTAAGAGGGGGATGGTGTTCCGGTAGTACTAAGTGCATAAAAGTTAATGGAGTCCACGCATAAGTATCCAGCCAAGTGTCATTCGCTACTCGTATATAATATTGTGGCGGGAAAGGCTCTTTGAGAGCTATTGTCATCAACAGTTTTTGTGGGTTTTGGCTGTAGACAAATTTGCGCGTGGCCTAAAAAGTATATTTTAACATGAAGAAAGCACATAAACAGAAATAATTTATGTTTGTAATAGAATTGTAATTGCGAATTGGTAAAAATACCTGGAACAATTCAGAATGATAGATAAAATTGGAAACGTCCATAATCCATAATCCATAACCAAAAATTTTGACTTGATTTACCATGTACCCGATCATTCCAAACAAAGTTTGGCCATATATTGATTTTAATACGTAATACTGTACGTGTTATGGGCTGCAAAGTGGCATCAACACTGAGCATGGGCAATTTTTTGGCTGCACGTAAGACCTGCTCAGCATGTTTATTGCTACTTAATATCTCCTTTAGCTCATCATG